TACTATTGCAGTATTTATAAAAGGGGTAGTTCACCCAAAAATTAATTCTGTCATAAATTACTCTTCATCAAGTTGTTCCAAACTTGTATGAGTATCTTTCTTCTGTTGAATACAAAAGAAGATATTTTGAAGAATGTTGGTATCCAAACAGTTGACGGTACCCATTGACTTCCATAGTATGGAAAATATATATATTATGGAAATCAATGGCTACAAGCAACTGTGACTATTTTCATTTTTGTGTGAATTATACCTTTAATATTTTGAATTAGCTTTTTATTTTTATAGAAATATTTTTAATTTAATTTATATTAATATTTTTATATTTTAGCTTTATTTTAATTCGTTTGAGTTTAATTCATGTCATGTGCCTTTTTGATTTGCATTTTTAATATTTCCATTTAGCTTGAATTTATTTTTATTTCAGTTTTTATCAATTTAGTATTTCAACATTTCAGTTAGTTACCAAGGTAACATTTCCAATTTTTCCAAGTTTTTTTTTTTTTTTTTTTAAGTAAGTTGAAGTTTAAAATTTAAGGTTTTCATCAAATATTTACATTTTATTATATTTCAATTACTGAAAACTATTTTTAATAGTTTTAGTAAACTAAACATATCTAGGGACCAGAATATCCTTGGTTATGTTCACACTGCGCAATATTTAAAGGTGACATATCATGAAAATCTGACTTTTCCAGGTTTTAAGTGCTATAATCAGTCCACTCAAAATAGGCATTTTCAAAATGATGTAATAAATGATCTGTGGAGTATTTTGAGCTGAAACTTCACAGACACATTCTGGGGACACCAGAGACTTATATTACATATTGTAAAAAGGGGCATAATATGTCTCCTATAAATTTATGACAAAACTGTGGAAAATGCTGCATGTAATCAAGTCCATTCAGAGCTGAATTCATCATGCATCAGACAATGCTTTAGCATTTACACATTCATGCAGAAGCTGCGGTCAAAACCGCTCACTTGCTCACTCATTTACCATTCAATGCATAGTGAATGTCACATTAAAGCCACAGGAAACAAGAAACAGGAAACGACATCATAGAGAGGACTCTGTAGACCCTCATGATTGTGATCCATGTTCAATAAGCCTCCTATATACGATATACATATATATCATAATTATAACGTGACCAATTTATGACAAGGCAAGGTACATTTTTATGTGGTGCAACTCTCCAAAAGCATAATAATAGTAATAATAATAATAATAATAATATTTTTCTCATATATTTAAAAACATTTTTTAAATTTTTTTTTCATTATATATTTATTTATTTCTACTTTGCTTTAATTTACTTTATTTCAGTTTTAGTAATTTTAGTACTTCAACCTAAACTATTTTTTATACACTTTTTTATATTTATATATATCATTCCATTTTTTGACAGCATTTTAAGTTGCACTTTCTCCCATTCATAGTAAAAATAAACGTCTTGGTATTTATATAGTCTTTGGTATTTCTAAGAACTTGCCGTTTTATAATCATTCCTATTATTCATCATTGACCCATATGTGTGTGTTATGGTGTGTGTGTGTGTGTGTGTTATTATAGACAACATAATGGTAAATTGCGACAGTAGTTATGCGTATTGATTCATTACTCAGGCTTTCGTTCTTGACAAAAATGGCTAGTGAAAAAAGCATGATGTATCACCATGGTTATCTGGATATGATACTAGGATAATACCTTGTTTGTGGACATGCCATGATATCATTTAATACCATAGTATTACATTGATACAAATGCATTGTGGTACTGCCACAGTACGTTTGTGTTGGAAGGAGGAAAAACACATTTTGCTGATGCTTTTTTTCAATCTGGCTCTGAAACCTCAAACAGCCAATCACATCATCAGGAAGAGGTTTGTACATGATGCATGCTGGAACAAAAGCGTAATTGGCAACCTTTGTGTGACTGAAGAGAAAGAGCTAGAATCAGACGCAATCCCCTCAACACTGATGTTGACACACACTGATGCCTCGAGAAAAAGCCCATTATTCATTCCACAGCTGTCAGGCCAAAGAGAGAAGAGGGAACAGGGGTTGTATATGAAAACACAGATTTGCACCCGTGCAGTAGCATTCGACTACACCCAGTCGCACTGAGAACGGCAGGCAGAAATGGTGCACGAGTTTCCCTCTCGAGCGGATACTAAACAACACAACAGCTCTGGAGGACTCAAAGAGTTTGCTCTGTAAAGCCAGCAAACTGTTCGCAGAGCTCTGGGATTTTGGCCTGGTCAATAGAGCTGGCAGCGGCAGCATTCAGACTGAAAGCGGCTCACAGGGGCCTGTGTCGGCCTCCCGCGGCCCACAACTCACCACTGTAGAAGCGGATCATGCAGCTGAGGTCTGAGTTGGCGGCTTCCTGCTGGACACGGAGCGGGTCTTCATAGCCCATAGCAGTCAGGTAGTCATAGACCATCTGAAGAGGACGCTCGGAGGGGTCCAGCCTCCTACCAACAGAAAGAGACCGGAGTCAGAGCTGAGAACAAACCGAAATACAGCGTTCTAAAACCTAAACAAATGACACTTCAGATACTGATGTCATACATAACCAGGGATCAGATTCACAAAACATTCTAAAGGTATAGTTCACTCAAAAATGAAATTTGCTGAAAATGTACTCTCCCTCAGGTCATCCAAGATGTAGATGAGTTTGTTTCTTCATCAGAAATGTAGCATTGCATCACTTGCCCACCAGTGGATGCTCTGCAGTGAATGGGTGCCGTCAGAATGAGAGTCCAAACAGCTGATAAAAACATCACAATAATCCACAAATAATCCACAAGACGTGTTTAACTTCAAACCATTGCTTTCTAGCTAAAATATGAGTCCTCTATCTATAATATTCTTTCTCCAGTGAAAAGGTAGTCTCGTTTGGATTGGGAGAGAAATCTGCACAGATCAAGCACTTTACAAGCGAAAACAGCCCAAAACACTTCTAAACAAATATATTGGTGGATTTTGATGTGAGAGGACAACAGTGGATGAATTTATTCACTGGAGGAAGCGTTATTATGGATTATGGACTCGCATTTAAGCCGGAAGCAACAGTTTGATGTTAAAACACGTCTTAATGATGGATTTGTTTCTTACAAACATGGGGCTTTTCACTTCACTAGATGTTAACTGATGGACTGGAGTGGTGTGGATTATTTGTGGATTATTGTGATGTTTTTATCAGCTGTTTGGACTCTCATTCTGACGGCACCCATTCACTGCAGAGCATCCACTGGTGAGCAAGTGAATGAATGCTACATTTCTGATGAAGAAACAAACTCATTTACATCTTTGATGGCTTGAGGATAAGTACATTTTCAGCAAATTTTCATTTATGTGTGAACTATTCCTTTAAGAAATTTCAAAATATCTTAAAAAGATGGATTATATCAACAGGAAATATTCCTTACTTGTTGCCATGTTTGTTTGTTTTTACCAAATATATATATATATATATATATATATATACATATACACATTTATACATATACATATATATATTTTTTTTTTTTTGCCTGACTGGAGCACATTATTGAGCAATCAGGGCAGAGGACAGAAGCTGTCAGATTTATAATGACATTTCATAAATAAATACTGCCATTCATTTTATAATTTCAGCTATCAACCCTCGTGAAACACTTTTGAAGTGCACTTAAATGTACTGAATGTGCACTTGCAGTGTACTTCAAACTTCAATCTCAAATACTTCAATCTTAAAAGTATTTTATTATTTTTCTTAAATACTTAATTGTGCAGCAGTACAAACAAGTATAGCCAGCCTGGAGATTTAAAACACACACACACACACACTTTAAATCATAATTACATGTTTCCCCAATAATAATTGTAATATTTTATCAATATTTGTGCATTACCAATGAGTCATCAATATTTTGAGTCAATTTTCCAGATTTGCATTTAGATACACTTAAGCCATAAAACCCCATTTTTGATGAGTTATTCACCATAAATATGGACAGACTGGTACACACTATGGAAAATTGCATGTAAAAGGTTTCACAGACAGCATATAAGGTATACAGTGCAATATTCAGTAATCAAGCACTGAACATTGTCAGTGTGAAATGTGGGCCTACACAGGACCCTGTGCACGTATCCCAGCTCTGAACAAGCATGACAACACACAGGTGTTTCGATTTAAGATCAGACTCTGTCCTAACATCCTCCAGCAGTGCCTCTCCCTCAGAGTTGGGTGTTTTCCCAGCACGCCAGACAGATAATATATCCCAATCCACTGGGATCACGTCTCGTCCAACTCAATATCTCAACATTCATTAAAGAGCTGAAGCGAAAGAACACCGATCTCATTACGTCTGACTATATTCCCTTTAAACAAAGCAAATAATCAGTCTGTCGATCTGACTCGATCATCTGTTCGTGACGTGACGGCATCCTGCTTTTTATTAAAACTGTCTGGCTTCATAATCGTCCACCTCACGCAGCGCCGCCGTCTTTCTCTCCCTGATTAAATCGTCATCTCATTCCACCACTCTAATCCTGTTAATGGATCCTCGCGGTGCTCTGAAGCAGATAGGCCGGCGAACGCTGCAATCCGTGACCCACAGCCTGGCAGCTGCTCCGATCACATGCTCATGCAGACCTGTCAGGTGTCCTCGTGGTGAAGCCAATTTAAGATTTGCTGTACTTGTTTGTAGGACTGCACAATTAATACATATACACATTTATACATATATACATATACATATATATTATTATTTTATTTTTATTTTTTATTTTTTTGCCTGACTGGAGCACATTATTGAGCAATCAGGGCAGAGGACAGAAGCTGTCAGATTTATAATGACATTTCATAAATAAATACTGCCATTCATTTTATAATTTCAGCTATCAACCCTCGTGAAACACTTTTGAAGTGCACTTAAATGTACTGAATGTGCACTTGCAGTGTACTTCAAACTTCAATCTCAAATACTTCAATCTTAAAAGTATTTTATTATTTTTCTTAAATACTTAATTGTGCAGCAGTACAAACAAGTATAGCCAGCCTGGAGATTTAAAACACACACACACACACACACTTTAAATCATAATTACATGTTACCCCAATAATAATTGTAATATTTTATCAATATTTGTGCATTACCAATGAGTCATCAATATTTTGAGTCAATTTTCCAGATTTGCATTTAGATACACTTAAGCCATAAAACCCCATTTTTGATGAGTTATTCACCATAAATATGGACAGACTGGTACACACTATGGAAAATTGCATGTAAAAGGTTTCACAGACAGCATATAAGGTATACAGTGCAATATTCAGTAATCAAGCACTGAACATTGTCAGTGTGAAATGTGGGCCTACACAGGACCCTGTGCACGTATCCCAGCTCTGAACAAGCGTGACAACACACAGGTGTTTCGATTTAAGATCAGACTCTGTCCTAACATCCTCCAGCAGTGCCTCTCCCTCAGAGTTGGGTGTTTTCCCAGCACGCCAGACAGATAATATATCCCAATCCACTGGGATCACGTCTCGTCCAACTCAATATCTCAACATTCATTAAAGAGCTGAAGCGAAAGAACACCGATCTCATTACGTCTGACTATATTCCCTTTAAACAAAGCAAATAATCAGTCTGTCGATCCGACTCGATCCTCTGTTCGTGACGCGACGGCATCCTGCTTTTTATTAAAACTGTCCGGACTCATAATCATCCACCTTGCGCAGCGCCGCCGCCTTTTCTCTCCCTGATTAAATCGTCATCTCATTCCACCGCTTTAATCCTGTTAACAGATCGTCACGGCGCTCTGATGCAGACAGGCCAGCAAACACTGCAATCTGTGACCCACAGCCTGGCACTAGCAGAATGCAGCTGCTCCGATCCACATGCTCGCATGCAGACCTGTCAGGTGTCCTTGTGTTAAAGTGGAGCAGGGGTCGGCCGCACTGCACCTTCACAGCAGAAGCTCAATTCAGCAGACGGAGATTTGCAGTTGGGGGGGGGATCTAATTGCAATTACAATTTAAAGGGGTCCTATTATGCTTTTTCACTTTTTCAGATACATTATTGTAATTTTGCTGAAAAAAATCTGTAATTAATACTACTACTACTAATAATAATAATAATTATTATTATTATTTTAAAAATAAAAAAAAATTATTATTGTATTTAATAATTGTATTGTAATTATTGCAATAATTGTAATTTTGCTTTCAAATAAAAAAGTTATTTAATTATTTTATTAATAATAAAGATAAATAAATAAATAAAAACAAAATAAGAAATATTATTGTAATTTTGCTGTATAATAAAGATTAGGGTTTAAGAACAACAACAATTATTATTACTGTTAGTAGCAGTAGCAAATAAATTAATAAATACAAATATAAAAATTAATAAATAGAAACAAAATGAGAAATATTTTGTTTAATTTCTCAGTAAAATACAAACTAAGTATTTAAGAAAGATACCAATATAATAATAATAATAATAATAATAATAATTTCATTTATACAAATATAAATATGACAAAATAAAACAAATAAAAAATACTGTTGTAATGTCGCTGTAAAATAAAAATTAGTATTTGAGAAAACATTAATAATAATACATTTATTTCACATTGCAACTATAAATATTACGATACTAATATTTATGGATGTCTTAATTTCTTCAATTTCAAATCTTTAACCACTGAACTTATTTTGCCCTCAAAGCTTCTCTTTTGTTGATAAGCGCTTCTCATTAAAAGTATGGAAAGATGCATGTCACATCCCCAAATGCACACAAATGTGTCCCAAACTCAGAGCAGATCCAGAGATGAGGTTTGTGTGGAGCAACATTTACTGTGAAACAATCAAGCTGCTCCGAGACGCTGAAAACAGCGGCAGATTATGAGCTGCTCACGTCTAAATGAACACAGTGCCACGCTTCACTCTGAAACACGCAGTGCATCTCTTTATTTCATTAATCACAGCCTTTGCGATTGATAAATCACATTAAGCCATATCGTGCTTTACTGTTTATTTTGATTAATCATGCAGCCTGGCTCTGCGGTCGCCCCTGCTTTGCTCTTTGCTTTGAGAGGCAGAGTGCAGCTGACAAGGACACTTTAGGGATTTAATGGTTTCTTGCGGCTTACCTGAAGTGAAATAAATAGTAGACAAGGGTAGAAAGCGCGCACACACACACATCAGCAGATGTCCCTGTGAGCTGCTCTAATGAGCAGCCTCCTCACAGCGAAACCTCGGCTCAGAGCTGGACTGCTTCCTGCGAAATAATGTGATTTCAGCCATCTCAGCCACAGCCCAGTCATTCCCAGAAGGGCAGAGAGAGGGGAAAGCATGACTTGCTTCTCTCTCTTTTGTCAGGCACACCTTTAAAACCACCACAGACACTGCAGACACTAGACACACAGAGGAAAGCACAAACCCGCCTCGAGAGCACAGGGAGTGTTGCAAACGCCTGCATATTCTGGTGTTTTGCTCTTGTGCACTTATCGTTAGCGGTTGCTAAGACACTATTACTAATGTTCATACTGTTTTCAAAATGTGTTTTTTTTTTTTTGGAAATCAGGATTTTAAAGGGATAGGTCACTCAAAAATGACAATTCTGTCAACATTTGTTTAACATTCAAAAATGAAGAAATTAAGACAGTATTACAGTTGTACTGTAAAAATTAAATATTTTTAAATGCTTGATTAAAAAAAAACATTTACAGTGAAATAATTTTTTTTTTTTTTTATCTGAGTCTACAAACAATTAGACTTAAAAATAATCA